GGGGGGGGGGGGGGGGGGGGGGGGGGGCACACCCTGTAATCCCCGCAGTCAGGAGACTGAGGCAGGAGGATCTAAAGTTAGAAGTCAGCCTAGATCACACAGTAAGAGCCTGTCTCTAAAAACCTTAAAAGGGGGCTAGAGAGATGGCTCCATGGCGCTTGCTTCTCTTGCAGAGGGCCAGAGTTCAGTTTTCTACACCACTGTAACTCCAGCTCCAGGAGCCGACACTCTTCAGTCTCCTTGGATACCCACATGCTCTTACACGCACACCAATATAAACAAAAATAAGTCTTTAGCCAGGTGGTGGTAGTCCATGATTTAACCCCAGCACTCAGGAGGCTCTGCAGAGGCAGGCACATCTCTGTGAGTTCGAGATCAGCCTGGTCTACAGAGTGAGTTCCAGGATAGTCAGGGCAACACAGAGAAACCCTGTCGCAAAATTTCAATAAATAAATAAAAAAAGTAAGTAAATAAATCTTTCAAAAAATACCAAAGGGGGAGAAGACATGAAGGCAGAGGGGAATCGTGGACACTTTAGGCGAGAGAGAAAAGGGGCCACTTGGAGGTGTGTAGTTCAGGAATGCAGCAGGGGACACAGGTAAAGTACAAAAACATGTATGTATAAAAATGTCATTCTGGGGCCACTGAGATGACTTGGCAGGTAAAGGAGCTTGCCACCAAGCCTGATGACCTGAATTCAGTCCCTAGAACTCACATAACGAAAAGAAAACAGACTCCAGAAGGTTGTCCTCTGACCAATACGCATGTATCCTGATGTATGTGCACCCACCCACACATACAGACACAGACATGCACACAGTAAACAGTGACGATCAATTTTAATGTCATCAAGAAATCCATTATTTTGTACCTTAACGAAAAACCATTTTCTGAGGATATACAAATACAAAAGGAACAAAAAACATTACGCCTAGTGATGGTCATAAGAAGGTCGCACTTCCCAGCACGCACAATAAACCCTGGGTTCCATCCCAGCGCTGTATAAATCGGGTGGTGACACACTACTGTAACCCCAGCACTAAGGAGAATCAGGGACATCCTTGGCTACACACCGAGTTGGCAGCCAGCCAGGGCCACGTGAGCTCTATCTCAAATCAAACAAAACCAGAAGGAGGTCGGCATCTCCCGCTGTATGACTGCACTTCTGTGAGATGTTTGGAGTGTTAGCCTGATAGGTTCCTCCTGGGTGATAGATACACTCTAGAACTGGACAGTGGTCCAACTGCACAACCTGAAAGGTGTACCCAAAACCACTAGACTGCACTTTCTTCCTACCTTCCCCTTTTTGGGGTATGGTCAAGACTGTTCCTGAACTCCCAATCTTTGTCCCTCCCTCCCCTAACTGCTGGGACGACAGGTATGAGGAATGGCCTAGGGGTTTTTGTTTCTTTGTCTCTAGCCCAGGCTACCCTCAAACTCATCAATCCTCCTGCTTCAGCCTCCCAACTCACACAGTAACAAGTGTGTTCCACCATGTCCAGCTTCATGTGCTATTTTGAAGCACAAGCTTTTTCTCCCCGCCTACATGGAGGGAGGAGGAGGGGACAACAACAAACAACAAATGACTTAGCAGGAGGAAGCTAGAGGGCGGCTCAGCAGTTAAGAACACTGGCTGCCCTTCCAGAGGACCACATTCAGCATAAGCATCAACCCCACTGAAGGCCCTGAGGATGTCCTGGCTTGGCTGGGGGCAGGCAGGTAGGACCCCAGGCTCCCCACGAGACCTTACCTCCTCGGACACAGAGGCCTCCACCACACCAGCTGCATAGGCCTGCAGGCTGTCATTGTAGCTTCCATTTGTGCCCAGGTCCAGATAGGCCCACCTGGGGGAGAGGAAGGACATTCAGTCAACAGCAGGGCCCTGCAAAGCCAACCTTCACAGCTAGACCCATGGCTGCAGGCACTCTGGGGTCTGGCTTTCCATTCCTTATGCCACAGATGGAATCCAGGACCTTATGTGCCAGCAAGGGCTTCAGCTCCGTTTCTGTTCTGTCTGTTTTTCAAACAGGGTCTCACTATGCAGCCCAGGCTGGCCTGGAATGCCAATCCTCCTGCCTCAGCTTCCTGAGACCACAGGTGTATGACACCATGCCTGCCCAGCCTCTAGCTTTAGACCATGAAAATGGCCTAGTGAGTAGCAGTGGCCCACACAGATGTCGGCCGGCCAGCCTGCCTGCACCCGCATGCCCACTGGGCTAGATACCCAAGATAGGAAGTACTGGGTCATAGGATGGATTCCACAGACTAAACCTGCCTCCTCTGCCCGCCTATGCCAATTGATGTCCCCAGTCATGATGGCCGGCACTTCCTAAGCTGTCACTATCTAGCAACCCCACCCGGTTTGTCCAGTGGCAACTTCACAGTCCTTCCAGGCAAGCACTGCTAATGGTCCCATCACATGGAGGAGAGGACTGAGTCCAGAGTTTGCCATCATGTGATGCATGCACTGTGTCCTCGCTCTTTACTGTGAGGCTCTGCAATGTCTCCACCCACAGCCACACGCCCCGCCCACACATCCACCTGTGCTGGATCACACGCGTTGCTTGCTTTGCCCAGTGGGGCAAGAGAAGAACTTAGCGCTGTTAAGGAGATCAAGAGGCCTCTGACTCCCCCACTGCCCTCCTGTGCCTCTGCCGCTGTCATGGAAGGACATCGCAGCCAGTCCACAGGTCCCAGGAATGGAAGGTCTGCAGACCCGAGGCCTGCAGGACATACAAAGGCCCCACAGCTTAGCTCCATAAGCAGCAGTCCTGGACCATTTCTTATGAAGCACTGTTGTCCAGTGCTGACTGATATACTTGTAGGGTCAGTGGCCTCCAAGCACGGAACAAGACTTCTGTCGAGTCAGGCTACCGTCTCTATTTACTCACGGAGACCTGGATGTCCACAAAGCTCCACTTCCCCAGATGGGAGTGCTATAAATTATCACCTCAACCCTTGTTCTCATTTTCTTAATAGAATTGTCATTAAAATATCTCTCCCAGAGGCTGAAGAGATCGCTCAGCAATTATGAACACTTGCAGAGGACCCAAGATCAGTTCCCAAAACCCACATTAGGCAGGATCACAAGAGCCTGGGAGTCTAGTTCCAGGAGATACAACTCCCCCCAGGCCTCTGCAGACACCTGCATGCACATAGTACATAAACTCACATAGGCATGCACACACGAATAAACAAACAAATATTAATAAATGTTTTTAAAAGAACTCCATTGAGTTGGGGTGCAGCTCAATTGGTAGAGTGCTCGTCTAGCATGCACCAAGCCCTGGGTTCTGTCCCCAACCCTTTGTAGACTGGGCATCTGGTCACATGACTATAACCCAGGAGGTGGAGGCAGGAGGATAACAAGTTTAAAGTCATCTAGAACAGTCTGCAGTCTGAGCTACATGAGACCCTTTCTAAAGGAAGGAAGGGAGGAAGGGAGGGAGAGATGGAGGGAGGGACAGAGGGAGGCAGGGAGGGAGGGAGGGAGGGACGGAGGGAGGGAGGAACGGAGGGAGGGAGGGACGGAGGGACGGAGGGAGGGAGGGAGGGACGGAGGGAGGGAAGAAAGAGGGGTGTGTGTTGGAAAGACAGTTCAATCAGTGACATGTTTGTTTATAATTCCAGCACTGAAGAAAGGCAGAACACAGGCAAATATTTGGGGCTCTTTGGTCAGATAATTCCACCTAATCAGTGAGCCCCTATCCAGTAGGGGCTACTTCAGAAGACATGGTGGCCAACACCTGAGGAACAACACCTGAGGTAGACCTCTGGTCTATGCTCCACACGCATGGGCGCGCGCACACACATCAACAACAACACCAACAAAAGCCCAAGATGGAGCTAGAAAGACAGCCCACCAGTGAGGAGCACTTGGTGCTCTTGCAGAGGACCAGGTTTGGTTCCCAGTGTCCCCGCTCTGGCTGACGACTGTCTGTAATTCCAGTTTCAGGGGATCCGATGCCTCTGGCTCCTCAGGCACTGCATACACATGGTGTACAGACACGAAGACAAACACACAAACAGCAGCAGCCCAGGGGAGACATGGGAATAGACCACAGCCCAGTAGGACCTTGAGGACAGCCTGGACTTTCTCACACAAACTTTCCCACTCTTACAACAAACAACAAATGACTTAGCAGGAGGAAGCTAGAGGGCAGCTCAGCAGTTAAGAACACTGGCTGCCCTTCCAGAGGACCCACATGGTGGCTCACAACTACCTATAACTCCAGTTCCAAGGGAGCTGATGCCTACTTTCTGGCTTCTGCAGACACCTGCACACATGTGAACACACATACACACTTCTAAAAATTATCCAAGGAGTTTTTAAAGACAGAATCTTTCCCTGTAACCCACCCTAGACTCATAACAAGATCTGTTTCAAATTTTAAAAATAAAAAGGCCTGAAGGGGTCAGTTCCGCCATAGAGTGTGCTCAGCATGCACACACCCCTGGGTTCAATGCCCACAGTTCCAGAAGGGGAGAGAGAGAGAGGAAAAAGAGGAGGAAGAGCAAGCAGTAGCATGTTTTTAAAAGCTAGGCTACTGCTGAGGTGGGCAGGGGTCTCAAAGGTCTCCCATCACCAACAGACAGGACCTTTAGCTACACAGCAGGCTTCCCTCCAGCCGTCTCTAATGGCTCCCCTTATTGACCCACTTCCCCAGCTGCAGCAGGGTCAGGATGCTCCCTGCTTTCCTAAGCTGCCCTCCTCTGGTGACTGGTTCCAAGCAGAATGGTAGATAGCCTTCTGAGAGGTGGAATCCAGTTGCAAAAGGGAAAAGGGGTGAGGGGCCTGACTTCCCCAGGGCGGAGGCCACAGCCCGCTGGCACAAGCTCCGCAATAGGGCATCTCCATCCACCACACACCAAATCCTAACCGTCTCACGGTGTCAGTTCAAAGTCTCAAGATGGCTCAGTAGGTAAAGGTGCTTTCCACCAAGTCTAACGACCTGAGTTCGATCCCCGGGGCCTGTGAGTTGTCCTCTTCCCTCCACATACATCACAGTACATGTGCCCCTCCCACCTCCTGCCCATAAATAAATGACATAAAACAGCTAAAGGTCAAACTGCAGGAAGGAAGGAGAAGGAGAAAGGGGGGAGGGAATTTACCCTCCAACAATCCAAGAATCGGCAGCGGTGAACCTCCAGAAAGAGGGTGGGCTCTAATTCTAGGAGAGTCTGGCTCCTGACCTCTTCCCTCCAAAAGAGTAAGACAGGCACCCCCAGGTTGGAGCTCCCATGGACCGGGGGACCAGGGCAGGCCAGATGTCTTCCATTTGACCCAAGTACTCAAGAAGCTCCGTTTCCCTGCCTACAAATTGGGGTCCCCCACTATGAACTCCCTGCACTGCTGGAGTCTCAGAGTGAAGGGACGTGTGACATAGGAGAGGAGGCGGAGGGCAGAAAAGATGCCAGCATGATGGGAGGCCTCGGTTTCCCCAATCATAAAACGACCAAAGGACTCTTACTCCTTTCCCTGCTTCACTCCTCCTTCAAACAACAGCAGAGCAGAGCTTTCTAAATCCCAATGAGACTTTGGGACCACCTCGGCCCCATTTCAGGAAAGAGCTCAGAGAAGGGAGCCACTTGCCCTGGGTCACACAGCAGTGGATCCGAGGCTGGAAGAAATTGCTAACACATTCAAGGAAGACCCTCCCCACTATCCTGAGTGCCATAGCTAGAAGCATTCTCAGTCCACTCAGATGTCCTCTGGAGTCCAGAACCCCCTCTCCACACAGTCCTCACACTCTTGTACCTCCGCATCCAAGTAGGGGTTCGTCATGCCCTCTTGGCTCTGCTAGACCAGAACAAAAATGCATGAATCAGCAGATAGTGGGTACCCCCTGATGCCAGCCAGAGCTGTGATTTCCTTCAAAGAGCCAGCAGCCTTCTCGCCCTACATTGGCCACACCCAGCTGTTACCTCTGCAGCGACCTTCCAAGGACCACCAACAACGGAGGTGTCTTTAGCATCTTGTGTTCCCAAAACCTGTGCTGCAGGAGGCTATGTCTTCTGAGCATGAGTAAATCGAGACCTGGTAAGAGGATATGCGGATTCCAGATGCTCTCCCAGAATAGCCTGAATCTGGTGTCCAACCAATTGCTGGCCCTGGCTTCCGGTGGGACGTGTCCATCGTGTGTGTGTGTGTGTGTGTGTGTGTGTGTGTGTGTGTGTGTGTGTGTGTGTGTGTGTATCTCTGCCCGAATCTTGACTGGCACTGGGTCCTTGAGACCACACACCAGGATAAGGTGAGCTTATCCTGACCGAGCACAAGTCATTATTCCTGGTGCAGACCCTGCCACAAGAGCCCATCTTGAAGTTCTGGGTTTACAATGGTGACATGGGAACCCAGACTGGCAGAGGAGCTAGTGAGAGACAAGAGGTTGCAGGGCCAGCCTGTGTTCCAAGTGTGACACCGATGATACTGATGAGCACTTAGCTCTGTAGCATCAGGCCATGAACTTGTCCCCGGATGGGCAGGAGCAGCAACAAGGATACTGACTGTGCTTGTGTTTAGGGACCCTCAACAATCCCTCCGGCCTGGAGCTTGGCTCATTTCTGGAGACCTGACTCTGGAGGGGAGCAAGGGCCTGGCCTCCTGGATAGCTGTCAAAATCACTGAAGAGCCTGGCGTGGTTGCGCACGCTTCAGGTGGGGGAGTCTGTGAGCTGCAGGCCAGCCTCGCCTACACAGTGAGTTCTAGGCCAGTCTGCCCATGCAGTCAGAGAGCTGGTCGCCCGGTCCCTCAGGGAAGATCCCGGTGGTTGGGGGAAGGGAGTTAATGGGTCACCCATTAACCCTGGGCCTGACCCAGCTGTGGACTCCCGAGGTCTGCAACCCCAAGTCCTGTTACCCGCCAGGCCCACGGCGGCGGCGGGGACGGCCAACCCTTACCCGGTCTCGCGGATGGCGTTGGTGAGGTTGGCCCAGGCCACCGCGGAGGGATGGAGGCCGTCCACCAGGCGCAGCTGACCTGACGCGGCGTCCAGAAGCAGCGAGCGGATGCGGGAAACGGGCGGGTCGGGGTTTGTGCGCTGCCATCCGGGCCCCGGCGTGGGGAGGGCTCCCGCTGGGCCGCCCAGCCACAGCCCAGCCAGCGCGGCCAGCGAGGCCAGAGCCAGCGCCCGACCCGCCCGGCCGCCGGGGCTCCCGTCCACGGGTGCCGCCATCGCGAACCTCAGCCGAGCCACGTGATGACGTCACAGGGCGGGGGTAGGGCGGGGCTTCCGACCGGGCTTCCGGAGTGGGCGGGGTCTATGGGCTGGAGGGGGCGGGGCCCTGGCGGGGCACGCCTTAAAGAGTCCAGGCACGCTACTGAAAGCCTGCTTAGTTAGCATCCTCCCCAGGATTGCTGTTCGTTCTTCCTTCCTTCCTTCGTTTGTTTGTTTTGGGACAGGGCTTCTCTGTGTAGCCCTGGCTGTCCTAGAACTCACTCTGTGAACCAGGCTGGCCTGGAACTCACAGAGATCCACTTGTCTGTGCCTCCAGAGTGCTGGGATTAAAGAAATGCGCCACCACCCTCCGACGCATAGTTTTTAAAAATTATATTTCTTCCTCTTCCTCTTCTTTTAATTTTCACTATTTTTACATTTCTTTATTTTAGTTTATGTGTATTTGGTTTGCCTAATGTATGTATGTGCGGCATGTGAGCGCCCCGTGCCCTCAAATGTCAGAAGTCTTTGGATCCCTTGGAATTAGCATTATGATCCTTCTGAGCCACAAGATGGGCTCTGGGAATCCAGGTCCTCTGTAAGATTAACAAGTGCAAGCGCTCTAACTACTGAGCCACCTCTCCAGCCTCGATGGGGGGGGGGGGAATTAGAGGGCGGGGATGAAGGGGTCAGTGAGGGGAAGGACGACACAAGGGTGCAGGTGCCCGTGGAAGCCAGAATAGAGTGTTGCTTTCTCAGTTGTGAGCTGCCTGATGTGGGTGCTGAGACCCAAGCTCAAGCTGCCAAGAGCATCAAGAATTGTGAAACCATCTCCCAGCCCCACATTTCTTTTGCTGTCTGTCTGTCTGTCTATGAATGAAATTGTCTCGTGTCACCCAGGCTAGCCTGAGCTACAGAGTTAATTCCAGACTAGCTTGGGATACAGTTTGAGACCCCGTCTCAAAGTAAATGATTTTTTTTAAAAGCCGAGTGTACTCTCAAAGATTTCAAGACCAGCCTGCTACAGAAAGCGAGATCCTGTCTCAAAATTAACACAAAAGAGGGTAGCAATTAGCAATGCAGTTCCCTTCAGACCCTCAACCTGCAGCAAGCACCAGACCCCAGAAGACAAGGGCTCGAGCACATAAGCTGTCCCCACTCCAGATGGGCAGTACAAGTCGCTGGCCACCTGTGCCTCTGGACAACTGGGGATAAATTCCATGGGTTCACCTGAAGAAAGTGACTCCCACCTATAATTCTAGCACTTGGGAGCGCTGAGGCAGGAGGACTACCAAGAGTTCCAGAACAGCCTGAACTGCAGTGTGAGACCTTGTTCCCCTACCAAAAAAGAACTCAAAGCCGGGTGGTGGTGGCGCACGCCTTTAATCCCAGCACTCGGGAGGCAGAGACAGGCGGATCTCTGTGAGTTCGAGGCCAGCCTGGTCTACAAGAGCTAGTTCCGGGATGGTCACCAAAGCTACAGAGAAACCCTATCTCGAAAAAC